AAAAATTCGAAATTGTCAAAAATGATTGATAACATTACAAAAAAATATTGTATGATATGTTTGAAAATTCGAAAATTAAAATAAGAGGACACTTGCACTAGTTCATCATATCCATTATATTTCTCGCTAAAATCTTCATCTCGCGTCCCGTTTACAATTTTCCACGGTTTCTGAAAATAGGATCTCGGAAATCGAGGCACACACCATTACTCATTAAAGCTGATGCAGGTTATTCGTTGCACGTGACGTCGCTGCAAGTATTATTTGGGTCGCGTGCGATCGTCGTCGCGGCCCGATCACTTTTCCACGAGTAGTTTTCTGGTCACGTCATTCGTTTCCAAGAGCGTCGTCGCCACGTGATGCCGGCTTGGATATTTTATGGAAATAAGCGAAGGAGAAGGACACTTCGGGTGTTTCAAACGAATCAGAAGCAACGGAAGCGGAAAGTCATCTCAGTCTTACCAGGATACGCGCGAAAGCGTCCTCTTTTTGTTGAACTTAAAATATTCTGTGTTACGTCAAAATAAGATACGTAGTTTTACATAAAGAACGTAACCACAACTTTCTAATTCTTCATCTCGATAATTATAGATTAAGCTTTAAAAATCAATTAATTGCTAGATAATAATGAAGATGAAGATCTATAATAATAAATAATTGAAACAATATTCTGTTGATCGCTTAAAATAAAATATACAAGTTTTATCCAGAGAACTTATTATTAATTATAGAAAAAAATGTATTTAAAAAATACAAGAAATTATAAGTATATTCCAGTATTTAATATTTAAAAACCTGTAATTTAATTTAAAACATTTCTATATCGATTTTATCTTCGATATTTTTATCATTCTTATTCTCTTCTAATATTTAATTTTCTTTATATAGTTATATAGTAAAAATTATATCGCGATAGCGGATGCTTAATTTTTCTTTACAAATTCGAACAATAAAAATATTCTACAGAATTAAATTCATATCAAGGGAGAAAAAGTTACTGTTTCATTTTAATATTTTATTTGTTAATTCGTAATTTTATTTGTTAGTTTTCTCACGATGACGACCGGAAGACGGCTCCAAAATCGGAATATACGAGAAATCGCGGGATATTTAGGTCATCGTGATGTAGAGAAAGGTTTTCCGTGTTGTCGAATCAGCGATGATGCAACGAAATGCCGCGACGACGTGCGTTAGTCACATCACGTCCCGAAAACGACGATTGTGACACAGCGATCACGCGAAATCGGACATCGGAAATATCGAATACTAAATTCTTATCGGAAATAGTCATTAACGAGTATTCGAACTCTGGAAAAAATGTGTCTTTAAACTTTTTTTATCTAATCTTGTATACTTGAAACCTTCCGACATCAATATTTTCACTCTTTGTCTGCAAGCTGAGTCTTCGAACTTCACTGCAGATTTTTATATTGCTCTGAACTGTATAAAAATCTTACATACTTGAAAAAAGTCTTATATACTTGTGAGCTTTAGCAAAGTTTAAGTTTTTACTCAAGTTTTTACTCAAGTTGTATTTTCCCATATTTAACAGATTTAAATTTATTTATCAGAATTCACAATCACATAAAATCGACTTTTAAAGTTCCATTGTTGGCGGATGATTAAGTGCTGATAATATTCAACGTAAATAATTATTTCTAATTGTAAAAATTCTCCGCATTTGTATCATTTTAGCACCAAGATACTACGTGTTTTCTGATCAACGTCATATGTATAATTCATGCTTTTTACAGTAGCAAGACTAGCTGAGCACATTGAAATAAGAAACGTGCCATTAAATTTTCTTTTTTCAATTTAAATAATTTTGCATCTACTTAAATTATAATAATATCCAGTATGCATTGTATTATCTCTAAATTATTGCACCGCCGTATTTGTATTATCAACGTCGCATTTATAATCCATGCTTTTTATAGTACCTATAAACGATAAGCGAGGCTGAGGACTACTAACTGACGTGACGTTTCTGACACGTGCTTCCAATATACCTATACAGATCACTTTGCGCTAATTGTAAATACCATTTTCGTGCCAAGGTTCCAAGTAACAATGGTCGATAATTAATTCTATTACACAATGTGATACGTGTTATAAGCAAATTTATTGTAACTTAATTTTCATTATTAAAAGGAAATAATATATATTTTTGTTCCAACAAATCTGGGATGTCTCATGCGCTTTTTTATTACAAAACGGATATTGCTCGCAATAATGTCTTCCAACTGGTACGATATTTCATGAGTTTATTCAGTTAGGAATCTGTCTCGGTAAATTTCTCCTTTCTTTCGTGTTGTAATCTTCAAGCTCTTACTAAATCAAGAAACTTGGTCAAGAAGTAGCTCAGAAGCGTGACTTCTAGAGGTATCTTCTCGAGATATTACGATGATTATACGGGTTTAAATTAGAAAGGAACGTTTCTCTCTCTC